GAGAGAGAGAGAGAGAGAGAGTGTGTGTGTGTGTGAGAGAGAGAGAGAGAGTGTGTTTGTGTGTGTGTGATCAGCTATCTGATCTGTGATCCATGACACCACATCAGTGTGATACGAGTTTGAAACACACTTGATGATAAGAATCACACACACACGCACTTCTCCACAGCTCAGTTTTTCTCTGCCGTTCTGCTTTCTTTCCAACTCCCCTCCTTCATGAATGCTGCCTCTATTCCTGCACTAATGCAGCCTTAAACTCAGAGAGAGCGACAGAATGACGGGGAAAATAAACACGAAGGCCAGAAACATGCTTCACAGAAAACACACTCCAGCCGTTCACCCAACAAACACACGCTTCACGTGCGTGAACAATGCAGGAATAACTCATGCGCTCGTGTGAGTGTGTTTCGAGACGCACAAGCGCTGGTGTGTGTGTGTGTGTGTGTGTGTCTGTGTGTGTGTGTGACTGAGGTATTTCCTCTGGGTCTGTGACAGTAAGCACTACGGCGTGAAAACACTCATCAGGGCCTCGAGAAACCCAGAGCGTCACCTTTCCAACCGCTCAACTCACTAAAAATACAAACGCACTCAACTCACACCTAAATATAGAAGAGCAACAACTGGTTTATGTGCGAGATAGAGGTTTATCCACCATCACACTGCCAAAGTAAAGGTGGCTCAGCACTTTAAAAACCTCAAATCAGGAACCACAAACATCAGCAGCCACGCAGCAAGACCAAACAAAACGCAATCAGTCAAGCATCTAATGTGACACGCATTAAGCGATGCTTAAATGACTTTGGATATAAAACATGTTCTCAAAACTCATAAATACAGAGCCCTTAAATGGAAATGGTGATAGGAGGGAATTTAACTAAGTGATTCCAATATCGTTACTCTGTCATTGTCGTTAAAGTCCGTTCACACCAAGTACGATAACTGTAACAAAAACTATATTAGTGTCCACACCAGCGAACGATAATGTTCTGCTTACTATAAGCGTGCTGCAGTTTTGTCGCCTGTCGCTTTAAATGCTAGAGCGCTTTAAAGTCGGTGGATTCTGATTGGCTGTCAAACTTTTTATCGTACATCAACTAGAAAAACCGTTCTGAATATATAAATATAAATGAGGCCCTGAAAGTAAACTACAATACACTGGAAAGAGTAAAATGACCGTGCCATTTATTTAAAGAGCATTTTATATTGGTATAACTTAAAATAATGGTTTCAGGTTTAAACCTGTTCTGTTCAGTTTTCTAATAAGCAAAACGTTCTGAAAGTGACTCCAACGATATCGTTCCTCTGTGTTGTTTTCGTTAAGACCCAGAACGATAGCTATAATGATATTCAGAACGATTTCTATATTAGCGTCCACACCAAAGGACGATAACTTTCTCTTTATACAGTTTTGTAATCTACTGCTTTAAATTTACGAACTCTTTAAAGTCCGACGAATTCTGATTGGTTGCCGAAGTTTTTATCGTTCATCAGCTGGAAAAAAAAACAGTTCTGAAAGTGTTGTTGTTGTTGTTGTAGTTGTGCTGTGGACTTACTGCTGTTCTCCTGACGATTGTTAAAACGTACAGTTATCGCTATCATTCTTACTGTAAACGGCCCTTAAAGCGGTCGGGTCACATGACGTGATTTCAAGTTTTCTTTTATCTTTGTAGTGTTACTGTTCGTGCATAGATAAAATCCGTAAAGTCACAAAGTCTCAAACCCAAAGAGATATTCTTTATAAAAGTTAAGACTCATCCAAGACTTCCTAAAACACGCCCCCACATGTCTACCTCACTATGTGGGAAGATTTGCATAACACCGCCCAAATGTTCACGCAAAGAAAGAAGGCGTAGCTTTTATTCTCGCTGTAGTATTGTTGCCGTGGAGACGCTGCGTGTTTCCAAATATGGTAAGGGGCGTAACATTTCCGTCACACGCTTGAGGTGTTCGGCCAATCACAACGCACTGGATAGCCGGCCAATCATGTTAATTTTGTCAGCTATTTTCAATTTTAGTCTTAGTCCCATGTTAAATGTCCTTGTTAGTTTTTATCATATTTAGTCAACCTGATTCCATTTAGTTTTAGTCGACTAAAAGTCCCAACATTTTAGTCTAGTTTTAGTCAAAGAAAATCTAACGTATTTTAGTCTAGACTAATTTAGACTAATCTAGATTAATTTAGACTAATCTTTAGCCAATGAAAACTTGGCATTTTAGCAATACTATTATTATTAATTTTAGCCGTACAGCAGTATTAATTTTAGCAGCCATTTTTAATTTAGTCTAGTCTTACTCAAATGCACATATTTATCGTATCGTATTTAGTCAACCTTGTCCTGTTTTTGTTTCGTCAAGTTTAAGTCAATGAAATGTATGAGCATTTTAGTCACATTTTCGTCATGCTGTATAATGGTTAGACTGATAAAAAATTATTTTTGCTCAAATTTATAATCGTAATGATTGTTGTCATTTGAGAAATTTACTTTTGCATTTCAGGCATTGCACTTTCTCCAGTAAGCACAAATCAATAGAGTGTGGACTCGTGGTGTATTTTACCTCATCTAGTGTACTGATTTATTGTACTGAATTATAGGCTTTTTATTATATAGATCAATACCAAAGACTTATGCAATCTCTCTGTCTACATTATGAAAACTGCTGAAACAAATGAAAAATATTATAACAGTGAAATTCCAAGTAATTCCAGATCGCAATAGCCTATTTCTCTATTAAAACAACAGCGGTCGAGTAAGTGCATTTTCAGACCGATGAGCTTTGTAAAAATCGACGCGTTTCAGAAAGGTTAGGCAGAGAGGAGCAACAATAATGTACGGTATGTGGACAATAACGTGTTTTTTGAACCTTAAACCATGTAAACACATTGCATTACACCAAATACACCAAATAATGCTCTTTTTAGCAACAGCATATGACCCCTTTGAGTGTAGTTTACAGTCAGGCACGACATACAGAAACAAAGCATGATCACTTGTTGTCCTAAAGTCTGGTCTCACCCGTCGTCTCCCACAAACTCAAAGGCTTGGCTCATGCCGAGCATGGACTGCGCCAGCGCGAGAGCGGACGGCGTCTGGATGGGCGTCAGCGCCGGATAGAAGGGACTGTCCCGACTCGCGTGAGGTCCGGGAGACGCCGGCTGCGAGCGAGTGGTCCGGAGCTGCGGAGAGAAAACGTACGCAAGACTGAGTAAAAACAGGGTTTCCGCAGGGATTTTTAAGCTCGAATTTAAGACTTCTTAAGTCCTGCACAAATAAAATTAATACCATGTGAGCATAAATAACATTAATAAGCATGATTTACAGTTTAGCAGTGTTTGGACGGTTACTTTGGAAATGTAACAGGATACAGATTACAAGTTACCCTATTTAAAATGTAACAAGTAGTGTAACTATTTCAGTTACTTTATGTAACGGATTACTTTTTCTAACAAATGCTTTCAACTGATAATCATTTTGAAACTTAAATTAGGCAGGTTTGCCATTACAGAACTCAACACTGATTACTGTCATACTTTCACAATCCTTCATCACTTGAATTAAGATTATAATAATTGAATTTTAAAGCACAGCCACCACAAAATCTGACTTTAGCAGCTCTTTTTACTTTGAGATCCTTAAATGCCGATTTAAAATCATAACAAGGAAGGGTTTAATAGCTATGATACTGTTTTTGAAATCAAATCTTTGCATAGCTATGACGGGAAACATTGGCATCTAACAGTTAATCTTAAAAAATAAAGCATATACATAAACCCAAATAGGAAAAAAAACGGTTTCAAATAAATTGTCCTAGTCTGTGTCCTAAACTCCTGAAACATTGCCGTCTCATATTTTAGAGGTGTGTCTGTGAGTGTGTGTGTGTGGGTGTGAGTCTGAGTGTGTGTGTGTCTGTGTGTGTGTGTGTGTGTGAGTGAGTGTGTGTGTGTGTCTGTGTGTGTAAATATGCAGATGTAACCCCCTTTATAATCTTTAAAATTTTCACAAGTAACTGTAATTTAATTACACATTTTTTTCCTCAGTAACTGTAACTGCTTACAATTACATTTATTTTGGAATTAAATTACGTAATTCCGTTACATGTAACTAGTTACTCCCCAACACTGCAGTTCAGATTCAAGTTTTCACAAAAATGGTTTAAAGGCTGAAATGTGAAGTGTATCATTTTATAAATCTTTTTGTTTTTAAGAAAATGGATGAGTCAGAAGTATTGATTATTATATTAATTTAAACAATTATTATCAATAAATTATTATATGAATTAAATAACATATAAATACATTTTACGGTTTAGATTTTTATAATGCAGTATCTTCTTATCGATCCACCAGTTCACATTTACCGCTCTGCGTGTTTGCAGGGTAAACACATGGGTCGATTTTTGCATTGGTCTGAACAAAAACAAAATGCTAATTCATTTACTGCCAGCAGGTGGCAACTTGGAACTTTTGCAGAAATATAACCGTTTCCACGGTAACGGCAGTAAACAAAACAGAGCAGCGCCAGACATTCGAAACAGCAGCGCTCATGTTCATTTAATGAAATCATAGCCTTTTGAAGTTTAATCGTCACATTGAGCCATATCGCAATTCTGGTCTTTCCGTCGCCAAATTAAACGAAAAACGTAATTTAAATAAACAAATAAAATTAAATAAATTAAAGACTGTTTAAGGAAACCCTGAAGAAACACACGAATGAATCAGACGAGCGTGTGATTGCGCGATTGCTCACCTTGCCGATGGCGTCCATGTCGAGTCGCAGTGGGGCGGGTATGCTGCGCATGCGGGGCGTGATCTGCGACCTGATTGGCTGCGTGTCATGTGTGGGCGAGGGCGGGCCGCTGTGGGCGGAGTCTGTCCGGCATTGGGTCAGCAGGTGGGTGGTGCCCTGTGAGTGTACCATGTGACCTACCTGCACGCCCAACTGTTTAAGTCTGGCTCCGCCCACTGCTCCTTCGGCTCCGCCCAGCCCGACCGTCTCTAAGGACTCCAGCGAGTGGGCGTGTCTCATGCTGTCAATCACGCGGCGGAGCCCACGCTCCTCGACTTCTCTCTCCATCACATCCATGCATGTCCAGCGGCCGCGTTTATACGGCTCGCCCGGTCCTTGATCCAAACGCACGACGCGGAAACGCGACGCCCCATCTAGCGAACTCTGCTTCCTAGCCGTGATGGGTGTGGCCGGCTGACTGGAGCTCTGTTGCGTCTGGAGGGCGGGGTTATGGCGCAGAGACAGCCCATTGGATAGGATTTGAGTGGGCGATGCGGTCTGGCTTCTGGGGCTCCTCCCGTGGGCGGGGTTTCTGGCAGAAGGGGGCGTGGCTCTTTGAGTTCCAGGGCTGAGGAGCTCCGGCGGATGGCTTTCTCCAGAACCCTGATTGTAGTCCGACGTGACGCTGGTGATCTGAAAACCGCTCCGTTTCTTTCCGCCACTCATTCTGGACCGAGCGGTGTGACGTTAAGCGCTCCAAACTCGATCTTTGTTGTTCATTATTTTGCAGTAGAAACCAAAACGGCAAAAATCTCTAAGAAACCAATGTCCTAACCATTCCAAAGCGAGACTGGTTTTCTTCCGCTCAGTCTCTCGGGTCAATCTGGATCAGATAAATCATATTCTCCGTCCTCAGGTAAAGTCGCAGGTAAAAGTTAAACAAATTTATTCCATTGCATTTGGCTCTGTCCTCTTTCTTTTGAGTGTAACTGCAGCCAGTACAGTAACAAGAGCAGTTTCTCTGCCCAGCGGTTGCGCAAGGCTCGGCTCTGATGGCTGTTTCCTCTGGCAGTCGTACAGTACGTCCGTTCACAGCTCAGGACACAATACAGAGGCTCCTGATCGCCATGCACGCGCAGATCTGATTCTCTCAAGATCAAAAGCCTATCCGAGAGATGGTAAGAAAATAAACACCATAATTAGGGCGTTTTACATGGTTTCTCGCTGCAGCTCAAGGCCTGAACGTGCCAGGACATCATGTTAGGTCTGCAGGACAAGTTTGGTAACTACAAAAACAAGAAGTTCTGTTTCCGTCGACGGTGATCTGTATGGTGACGAGAAACTCAGCAACTTTAGGAGCAGAACCTGCAAAGAATCAGACTCAATCTCAATGCCTGGAGTTACGGACCTGACTGCTCGTTTGGTTCAAATTAAAAGTGAATCATGCATTTAACTTCAATTAAATCTAGAGAAAGAAACTCAAACAACTTAAATAGAGTTAAACTGTAAATGTTACAGTTTTGGCCGCTGCATAAACATGAGCATGCTTTTAATCTCAAATTAAAACTGAAGCAGGAGAAAAAGTTTTGTTTGTGCAAAATCTAAAAACACGTACAGAGCAAAACTTGTATCGCTCATCTGATTCAAATTAAAACCAGATCATGCATTTAACTTAAAATTAAAACTAGAGCAAATGAAAAAAGCTCAAAATAGTCATGAACTTAGAATAAAACCTGAATAGAAATTTTTGTTGTTGTCGTTTAATTCAAAAAGTTGGTCGTGCATTTAACTTTAAATTAAAAATGCAGCAGGTGGACAGGTTTAGCAATTTTGTGCAAAAGCTAAAAACACTAAGCAACTTTAAGAGTAAAATGTTTAAATGCTAACAGTTCTGGCATCATATTTGATTCAAGTTAGAAATGATCGTGCTTTAAACCTCAAATTAAGTGTAAAAGCTCAAAACTTAGACTCAAACTCTAAATGTTACAGTTCTGGTTGCATATTTGATCTGAATGAAAAAATGAGCATGCTTTTAACCTAAAAATTAAAACTATAGCAGGTGAAAAAGTTCAGCAATTTTGTGCAAAAGCTAAAAACACGTACAGAGCAAAACTTGTATTGCTAATTTGATTCCAATTAAAACCAGATTGTGCATTTAACTTCAAATTAAAACTGGAGCAAGTGGAAAGGTTCAGCAATTTTGTGCAAAAAAGCTACAAACAATAATTAGCTTAATTAATTAACTCTGGCATCATATTTGATTCGAGTTAGAAATGATCGTGCGTTAAACCTCAAACTAAGTGTAAAAGCTCAAAAGTAAAACTTAGAATCAACTCTCAGTTCCGTTGCATATTTGATTGCAGGTTTTTAATATTGATGCAAAAGCTTGCATATATAATAAAACTAGGGTTATTGCAGTTCTGACACGCACGGGCTGATTCGAATTAAAACCGGAGTCAAGATTTGATTTCACAGATTCGCGCGGGAGTGACGTCACCGAACGCTTAAGCAAATCCCCCGCATACAGAAGCATTGCACAACACCACTGAAACCTGACATTTACTTACAGCAAACTAACCCAGATGACGGGAATCAGAGCAGTTCAATCGCAAAGAACCAACACAACCAGGGAACCCCGCGCAGATTGAACCTGAGCCCCCCCCAGAAACGTGAATTAGCCCCTTAAAAATGAGTCTGCAATCCCTTTAAAGAGTCAAATTGCACACAGTCGCAGATTTTGTGAACTTTAACGCACTAAAGACTCAGTTCACGTGCTGCTAAAACCCCTGGAGGAGAGAGAATATTCCGTTAAAATAAAAACAAACATTAAAACCCCGTTAGATTCCAGGAGACTGATTGACATTGATCATCCACACCCGAGAAGTTTGTTTATACTCCATAAATTCGCATCAGATCCACCCGATAATCTACAAATCCGCAGAAACGCCGCGGCTTCGCTCCTCTTGCGCAGTCTCGGACTGGACTTTCTTTAAAGCGACACTAACGAACTCAGATTTACAGATTAATTCTCCTCCTGCGAAACTGTTGACAACTTTCCATCACCCGGAAGTTACGCCTCCGCGTCCTACTATGGCGAGGGGGTCATGAATATTAATGAGGCCGCGCGACCAATCAGTGACGGGCTGACCCGATTAATATTCATGAGCCCATCCTTCGCTTTAGTGCGATTTGAAATTTTGACAGGCGCGCTGAAACTTTACGTGTAAATTAAGAGATTAGACACTGCCACCTAGCGACTATTTCAAATAAGCGCATTTTCATTATTTGTGACCCTGGAGCACAAAACCAGTCACAAGTGTCGATAAGTGAGATTTATGCATCATCCCAGCGACTTAACACTGCTTTTGTGCTCCAGGGACACATATAGAATACTTATTACTAAGCAGTGTAGTTATTTGCATATGTAAACATAAGTAAACACATACAATTGTGAAAAAGCACAAATTTATTTGTTTTCATTTTTCCAAATCAATTCACAATTCCTGATTAAAGACCAAAGTAACCCACTGATGTAGATCTACAATAAACATTATAAATGCACATCTTTCAACCCGTCAATAAAGTGTTCAAGTACAGTAACAAAATAAGGAAGAGTTATGGATATGACCGTGCAGCTCCCATAATGCATTGCTATTTTATTTGCATAACCAAATTGTTATGACGGAACTAGATGTTCTACTTAAAAGATGCTTAAAAACATTTTAATAAGTGTTTTAATATGTAGGTACCTTATGTGTGTTACATAAATGAATAAAGGCACTTTACCTCAATGTTTAACTACCGGTATATAGCATGTATGGCAGTTAATACAAGTCATTCTAGAATATTATATGCAACACACACACACACT